TGCTCCCCTTCAGACCCTGCACCTGGACGTTTGGGGCCCAGCCCCCGTCCCCGGACCGCGCGTGAGCGCTACTTTCTTGTGCTCGTCGACGACTACACGCGCTACACCACGGTGTTTCCCCTGGAGCGGAAGGCCGACGTGCCCGACGTTCTTCTCTCCCGTGGGTTGTGGCTGCGCGTCTTCACCGCGGTCTCCCTGTTGTGTCTCCACTCCGACCGTGGCGGCGAGTTCGCCTCTGGTCGGCTTGGACAGTTCTGTCGTGCGGAGGGCATCACCCAGTCGTACACCTTGCCGGACTCGCCACAGCAGAATGGGGTTGCTGAGCGCCGCATCGGCTTGGTCATGGAGGTGCTCGTACCTCCATGATTCATGCCGATGCCCCCCATTTTCTGTGGCCGTTCGCTGTTCGCTACGCTGCTCACCAGCTTAACCTGTGGCCACGCTCCCAGCGGCCGCAGGTTTCGCCGACCCTCCTTTGGACCGGGTCCCCGGTGACGCGTCTGCGTTCCACGTCTGGGGCTGCCTTGCTCACGTTCGTGCCTCTGGCACGGACAAGCTCACTGCCCGCACTGTCCCCTGTGTCTTCCTCGGTTTCCCCCTGGACTCGTCTGACTGGCTTCTACCACCCGCGTCTCACCGCTTCCTCACTCTCGTGACGTCACCTTTGACGAGTCGTCTCCTTCTCCGTCGCTTCCCTCACCGAGGTCTCCCGGTTCCCCCCCCTGTTCCTTGCTCCCTCCCCGGTAGCCCCTGCTCCCCTCCCGCCTCGTCCTGCCCCGTCTGGTGTCTCCCATGTCACTCCCCTCCCGTCGGTTGTCCCCGTTGAGGAGTCTGCTGACTCTGGTGGTCCCCCGGCCGTCCTTGCCGCGTCCCCCTTCCCCGGTGCCCCCTCCCCATGTCGCAGTCGCCGTGCGTCGCTCGCCGCTGTCGCGCCCCGCCGTCGCGCGCCGCCGCCGCCACCGCCGTCGCAGCCGCCGCCCTCACCGCTGCCGCCGCTGCTACCGCTCTTGGCCCTGGGGTGCTGGTGTGAGGAGGGGTGTTCGCCTGTCGGCTCTGGGGCCTGGGGGTGTGCTGGTGCTGGAGGGGTTCTCGCTCTGGGGGTGTTGGTTCTGGGGGTGCTGCTGTTGAGTGTTCTCCGGCGGTCGTCTGCCTCTGCCGGTCCGCGGGTTCGGCCCAGCCGTCGCAGCGCCGCGCAGCACCGCAGCCGTCGCGCGGTCTCCGCTCTTCGCCTGCTCGGCCTTCCCTCCCCGGACCGCTCGCCGGTGTCTCCCCCCACCTCTCCTCTTCCTGTCTACGGTCCTGTGTTCCCGCCCCGGACTCGTCTCCGGCCCGTCTTCCTCCTCGTTCCCCTTGTGTCCCTCCGCTGTCCCTGACCCTACACCTCCGTCCCACGTTTGGTCTCCGTCCCTCCGTGCTCGTCCCGTCTCTCCTGTCCTGCGCTCCCACCCTATGTTGCTCCGTTCCCACTCGTCTCGTCCTCCCCTCCTCCCGTCCCCTCCCTCGTCGCTTGTTGCACCTCCCGCTGTCTGACTACCTCCGTGCCGCTCGTCCCCTTGTCCCTCGGGTCCTTGCCTCTCTTGTTACCGACCCGTCTGTTCCTGTCTCGCGCCTTGACGCGCTTGTCGCTGCTGTCGCTGACTTCGCCTCTACCCGCCGCCTTGACTACGCTACCGCTCTGGTCTCTGACCCTGCCCGTCCTCCGTCCGTCGGGGTGCACCTGCCCTTGGCAGTGACGTCCTAGAGGACAGGCAGTACGAGCTGCTTTCCTTTCCGAGGCTGCTCCCCATCTCTGCTCCATGCTCCTAGTCCCTGAGGGTGACCCAGACGCCTTCGACATCCCGACCCCTCGCACCTACGCTGAGGCCACCTCGGGACCTGGGCCTCTCAGTGGATAGCTGCCATGGAGCAGGAGATGGCATCTTGGAGGTCCACCGGCACTTACGTCGACGCAGTTCCCCCGCCTGGGGTGAACGTAGTCGATGGTCGGTGGCTCTTCAAGGTGAAGCGCCCCCCTGGAGAGCCGCCTGTCTTCAAGGCGCGCTACGTGGCAGAGGCTTCAGCCAGCGCGAGGGGTGACTTCTTCCAGACCTTCGCCCCGACCCCGAAGATGACCACTCTTCGGGCGCTGCTACACGTAGCAGCACAGCGCGACTACGAGCTTCACTCCCTCGACTTCTCTACTGCCTTTCTTCAGGGCAGCCTACACGAGCAGGTCTACCTGCGCCGACCACAGGGCTTCACTGGTACCTTCCCCCTGGGACCCAGTGGCTTCTCAGGCGCCCGGTCTACGGCCTGCGTCAGGCTCCCGCGAGTGGCACGACACGCTGCGTGCCACGTTAGCAGACCTGCAGTTCTTTCCGTCCTCTGCTGACCCTCGCTGTTTGTGCGTTCCGGCCAGACTCCGTTCTACATCCTTGTCTACGTAGACGACCTGGTCTTCGCTACTGCTGACAGGGACGCACTGGCCTCTGTGAAGGCGAGCTGCTGAAGAGACACACCTGCACTGACCTTGGAGAGCTGCGTCGCTATCTTGGCCTGCAGATCTCTAGGGACAGAGCAGCACGCACCATCACTCTGACAAGTCACACTTGGTGCGTCAGGTCCTTCAGAGGTTCGGTCTTCAGTTCTCCTCCGCACAGCCCACACCTCTACCTGTAGACCATGGGCTTCTGCTCCCGTTCCTGAGGAGCCAGTAGAGCCCGGCCCCTACGCAGAGCTGGTGGGTTGCCTCATGTACCTGATGACTTGCACTCGCCCAGATCTCGCATACCCTCTCAGCATCCTGGCTCGCTTTGTGGCTACAGGCAGACACCGACCACAGCACTGGTCTGCCGCTAAGAGGGTTTTGCGATATCTGCAAGTACATCGGGCATGGGGTTAGTGCTAGGAGGACGCAGGCCAGTGGTCCTTACTGGGCACACAGACGCTTCTTGGGCAGACGACGCTGAGACTCTCAGGTCGTCGCAGGGCTACTGTTTTAGCCTTGGTTCGGGTGCTATCTCTTGGAGATCCACTTCTCGTCTGTTGCTCAGTCCAGCTGTGAGGCTGAGATCTACGCGGTGCCATGGCGGCACAGGAGCTCCGCTGGCTGACCTTCTTGCTCACAGACTTAGGTGAGCGGCCTAGCTCTGCCCCGTCCTGTACGCTGACAACAGGGCCATGATCTCCTGTGTCAGGAGCCTCGACTTGAGGGCAGAGCGAAGCATATCCAGCTGCGGTACTTCCTCCTGCGCGAGCTACAGCAGCGTCGCCAGGCCCGCGTAGTTCACTTGGCCTCAGGTGCCAACACAGCTGATATCTTTACTAAGGCGCTTGCGCCTAAAGATCATCAGCGGCACTGTGTACAGCTTGGTCTTGTTCTGTAGCTTCTCACTTGTTAGGACCCTGATTGTGTACTCCTCACTATATATACCTGTCTGACTAGCCTTGTGGCTTTACTCCCAGTGGCTGGACTAGTAGTGCCGCCCTGGCTTGCTTGTCTTGTCTGTATTCTTGCTGACTGGTCTTTGGACCCCTTTTTCAGTGGTTGGACTAGTAGTGCCGCCCTGAGCTGTGTGCTTCCTGCTTGTACCACCCCTTCTCTAGCCTAGAGGGTGTGTCAACTTATACATGTCATGAGTGTAGAAGTTATAGGCTAGTATCGGTGTGTGCTCATAGTGAGTACAACCCAACTGCTATATGTTCCCTGTTTCTCTTCTAGTTATCCATTCACGTATTCTAACACCCTGGTACTAAACGCTCTAAAGTAGAAATACGCCCTAACTCGTGACCACATAAATTATAACTGCAAAGTTACTGAGGTGCGTTATGTTCAAATTATATTTTTATATAATTATAGGCTTGGTAGTTGTACCTGTTTCTCTTCTAGTTGATCCACCTTTTCTCTCGACATTCTTCTCTCCTTCCTCCTAGCTAAACCCCGCCGCCATAGTCATGGCGTCCTAGCTATAATACCTTCACGACATGGTTTCAGAGCAGGCCGCCCGTCCCGGGCCTGCTCACTACTCGTCCGCTGCGTATTCTCTGGTACTTCGCCGCCTTCGCAACCTTCAGATTGCCTGCCGCCGTGGCACCTTCCATGCCGCGGCGGCCTCATGGTGGCGACGCCGTCGACGTCGGGCCGTCGCGGCGTGACAGCGCCGCCGTACTGACGTCGCGGCGTCGACGTCATGCCGCATCGACGTCACGTCGTGCAGCATCGACGCCGCTCGTTGACGGCGCCGTCGGGCTGCAGCCGACCGTGCGACGTCGGTGACGCTGCCGCCGCCCACACGCCAGCCAGCGCCCTCTCCTCTACACCACCCCTTCTCCTTGCATCCCCTCTCCCTCCTGCCGCAGCTGCTGTCTTCGGCTCGGTCATCGCCAGCCCATGCCACACCGCCGAGAGCCCTCAGCCGCCGCAGTCGCCGCCTGTCCTCATCACCGCAGCCGCCTTGAGCACGAGCTCCGCCGCTGTCGTCATTGAGGCCGCCCAGATGCGGCCAGCTGCCTCTCGTCCGGGGGTGTCATCGCCTAGCATGAGGGGTCCGATACCCGGCTGCTCACGAGAATGAGGGGGTCCGGGGTTAGGGGTGTGTGTGTGGGTTGAGTGGGCTTGCCACTACCAAGCCTAGGGGGTGTGTTCAAATTATATTTTATATAATTATAGGCTTGGTAAGTTGTGCTACTGCATCCTACTGTAGAGGGGATAACTCCCCTTCTTGTACCTGTTTCTCGTCTAAGTTGAATCCACCTTTTCTCTCGACATTCTTCTCTCCTTCCTCCTAGCTAAACCCCACCGCCATAGTCATGGCGTCCTAGCTATAATACCTTCACGACACGTTATTCCCTCCACTTCAGTGCTAACAAACAAAAATCTTGGTGCACCCTGTCTAGTGAAGCCCAAGGCACGTCGTCACATCAGATCTGCAACATGTCAGTTGTCCGATCACGCGAGATCGTGTAACTACAGGAAAGTGTAAGGCTTCGCTTGAGTTATACCCTTATGTGAAAAAGTACAAATATTTAGGACCCTTATATTACAAAGTAGCTTTAAAATATACCCTTACAGAAAAAGTGGCAGCAAGCGAGTACCCTTACAAGAAAGAGTACTTTTAATCCTATCCAGAGGCCTGATGTGTACCCGTTACTGACTAAAACCCGTGATAAGGAAATACCATTTCCTTTCAGCACTGAAGCACTCAACTTCTGTACAAAAGCAATGCAGCTTGCTCCAGCTGGCCCAATCGGTTGTCGCCGAGTGCAATGCAGAGTACAGGTGCTGTGCATTCAGTCATGCTGCTGCACAGCACGATGAGTGCATAGTGTATTGCAGCTCTAGTTGCGCCTGGTGAATTCTACTGTAAGTCGACTCAAAAGTCACCTATGCACCCAACGGCGCAGCACAGCATAGCACTTTCACTGCAGCTCCAGCTGCCGCTGCTCGTTGCCACTGCAGCCAATGCAGGTGCCGCCAACGAGCAGCGGGGCAATGCTGCCTTTGCTCGTTGTCAGTGCATCAGCCTTTCAGCGCATCAGCCTTTCAGCGCATCAGCCTTTCAGCGCATCAGCCTTTCAGCGCATCAGCCTTTCAGCGCATCAGCCTTTCAGCGCATCAGCCTTTCAGCGCATCAGCCTTTCAGCGCATCAGCCTTTCAGCGCATCAGCCTCTCAGCGCATCAGCCTCTCAGCGCATCAGCCTTTCAGCGCATCAGCCTTTCAGCGCATCAGCCTCTCAGCGCATCAGCCTTTCAGCGCATCAGCCTTTCAGCGCATCAGCCTTTCAGCGCATCAGCCTCTCAGCGCATCAGCCTCTCAGCGCATCAGCCTCTCAGCGCATCAGCCTCTCAGCGCATCAGCCTTTCAGCGCATCAGCCTTTCAGCGCATCAGCCTTTCAGCGCATCAGACTTTCAGCGCATCAGCCTTTCAGCGCAGGCCCGATGCAGCTCCAGCTGCCCCTGCTCGTTGTCTCCAAAGCCAATGCAGGTGCCGCCACGGCAGAAGGCAATGCTCCTGAGGCGCCACAAATGCAAGGAGCCCACGGTTGGTGCTTCAGTGCAGCTCCAGCTGCCCCTGCTCGTTGTCTCCAAAGCCAATGCAGGTGCCGTCACGGCACAAAGCGATGGTGTGATACGCCCCCGTGCTTATCTGCAGTGAAAATACAACACGCACGGGCGGGCGGATGGACGGATGGACGAACTGTATTTGAGTCGAGTCGAAAGCATGAAATGAGTGACAGACTCCTGTGCTTATCTGCAGTCGAAACACAACACACACGGGCGGATAGCTGGACAAACGGACAGTCATCATTAGCTGTTTGACTCGAAAGCAGGTGACTGAGTGGTAGACTCTCCTGTGCTTATCCGCTGGGAAGCACACAGAAGTCAACATATGACATACGGTATCCCCATGCCCCTGTCCATCACCTGCACCACCCATGGCCTCACCTGCACCACCCATGGCCTCACGTGCACCACCCATGGCCTCACGTGCACCACCCATGGCCTCACGTGCACCACCCATGGCCTCACGTGCACCACCCATGGCCTCACCTGCACCACCCATGGCCTCACCTGCACCACCCATGGCCTCACGTGCACCACCCATGGCCTCACCTGCACCACTCTCCTCCCCTCCATCGCTTGCACCGCCATGGGAGCAAACACCACGGCTACCCCCTGCTGTAGACCCCAACCCACGTGACTCTATAGCCGGACTCAAAAGCCTCCCCAAACCCACCCTTTTCTCCCCCCTCTTGGCCTCCTTCCCACACCTTAGTTCCCCTCACCTGCACCACCCTTCTCCCCTCCAGCGCTTCTACTGCCATGGGAGCAAACACCTTGTCGCGCCCTGCTGCCACTCCGAGCCCAGGTGACTCTACAGTCAACTCTAAGTCCCCTTGTTCCTCCAACCCTGCCCATAGTTCCCCTCACCCCGCACCACCCTCTTGCCCTCCAGGGCCTCCACCGCCATGGAGCAAACACCTTGTCGCGCACGGCTGCCACACCCAGCCCAACAAGATCCATTTACCTGCTCAAAGCCCCTCCCATTCCACTCTTTTCTCCCCTCACCTGCACCACCCTCTTGCCCTCCAGAGCTTCGACCGCCATGGGAGCAAACACCTTGTCGCGCCCGGTTGCCACTCCGAGCCCTCCAAAGGCTGTCCACCCGAAGGCAAACACCCGGCCCTGGTCGTCCAACGCCAGAGTCTTGCGCTTTCCCAGAGTCACCTGAGATCGGGAGGGGATCAGCAGGAGAGGGGGGATTATCAAAAGTTGTCAAGCGGTAAAAAGACGATTTTTGAGGCACCTAAAAAAACCATCTATATAAGGCATGCTTCCACCCCCAGCCCCCCATTCCCCCACCCTCCCCCCCTTCCCCTCCCCCTCCCCCTCCCCCCCTCCCACCCACCCCCCAAGGCCCCCCAGACCGCTAACCCTCCAACCCATTGACTGTGCATGTGCTCACATACCTGCACTATTCGAGTATGCAGGAGCCCCTCCACAACGCGTGCAGCACTCATTGGCCTCGCTGGCATTGCCCAAACACCCGCAGTAGCCTGAACCCCACATGAACACCTGCAACCGGGGAGCACAGGGAGAGTGCGGGTCACAGATGGCTGATTACACGCAGCAGGCGTTAGAGACAGAGGAAAACTGCACGCGAGAAGGGGGGGCTGGTTGGGGGGCTGGTTTGGAGCGCATGAGAGAGGAAAACTTGGGAGCCCGGTTTGGATTGCAAATAGCAAGGTCTTTCACTCACCCGCCCCAGGCAGTTGACAGCAGCGGAGTAGTCGAGAGAAGCAGCAAAGTCACAGAGCACATGGACACCTGATGAAAGGACCCACACCACTGGCTGCTGAGGGCTCAACATACCCTCACACCTTACCATCACTCTTCCACCCGTCCACTCACCCGCCCCAGGCAGTCGACAGCAGCAGAGTAGTCCACAGAAGCCGCCACCTTGAGCACATGCACGCCCGAGTCAAGAAACCACGCCACAGGCTGCGGCACCAGACAATCAGAGAGGTCAGCTGCTGCTGCTGCTGCTGCTGCTGCTGCTGCTGCTGCGGTTGTAGCACCGCCAGCACGCCTAGCCACACGCACGCTGGATGCACCCCCGGCTCTCCCCTGCGCTCTCCCTATCCGCCCTCCTCCTCTCACCCCTCCGTCCTCTCCTGTCCCCCTCTGACCTCTTGCTCCTCCGCCCCACCCAACCCCCACCGCTGCGCACCCCCCAGCTGCCCACTATGCCCGCGGCCAAAAGCCAGCACCACTCCGCCTGCCGTGACGGCGAGAGAGTGGCTGGCGCCAGCTGCTACACTCACTATGCGGTATTGAGCATACTCATCGCCACTGCCGCCCATGTCAGTGCTCCTGCCGCCCATACGGTCGCTGCTCCCACCCATGGTATCATCTCCCCTGCCGCCCATGGCTCCGTCCAGCATGGCTCCGTCCAGCACGGCACCGTCCAGCACGGCAGCTAGCACTTCTGGCCGCAGACCCTCCACAACCGTTGGCCGCATCTGTCGTCCGTATCCCCTATCCCCAGCCGGCCATTGCCGCCTGCTCCGAACGCATACACTGTGCCATCCGTAGCTAGAACCAAGGTATGGCTCCTCCCTGTGGCCACCTGCTGACATGGCACGCCTCTTAAAGCCTCCACTAATTTCGGCTGGGAAAATTTCTTCCCCGCCCCTTCCTGCCCGTGCCCGCAGCACCCGTTAGAGTCCTGCCCCATTGTGTAAACCTCCTCTGCTTCCGTTAGTATCACAGTGAACGCTCTTCCCCCCGCTACTTGCACCACCCTGTCCTCCTCCCTACCCCCCCCACCCACCCCATGCTCCTCATAATAACCCACCCCGGATGCCCCTGCCGCCGCCCCATGGTTCCCCCCATCTCCCCCAGCACCCCCCGACGCCCCTTCCCCCACCACTATATGCGCCTTGAGGCTTCCCCTCCGCCCTCTCCGCCCCCCTCCCTGCTGCGCTTGCTGCATCGTGCGCCCATTCAGCCTCTCCGAGCCTACTGCCGAGCCTATCGCTGCGGCACTGCCCGAGCCTGCGGTGCTGGCTCCGAGACGCACAGCAGCCAGGCCGGCGGCCAGGGCGCTGCTGGCGGCAGCCGCCCAACCTTGAGCCGCCTGGGGGCGGCTCGACAGTCGCGGGGCGGGTTGATTCGGGGGAGGCTGATTCGGGGCGGGGGTTGGGACGACTGGTGCTGGGTGAGTTGGCGCGGTACGCGGGGGGGCGAATTGTGGGGTGCCGTCGCGCGTGCCTGATCCGTACACCCACAGCTCGCCGCTAGTCTTTATCTGGAACGAGCAGTAATCGCCCGCGTAAACAGCGGCTGTTAATCCCGGGCCGCGGCGACCTCCCTCCCTCCCCAGGCTGGCCTCATCTTCCCCTTCCGCCGCCGCCGCCCAATCCGCGGCGAGCAAGGCGGCTTCCGCCGCGTCACATCCGCGCTTCCCCTCCCCCCCTCCGACCTCCACTTCCGAATCACTTCCCCGCCGCAACCCCCAGGCCTCCTCCACCGCCCACGCGAAACGCAGCACGCGCAGCCAGCTTCCGCCGCACCGCTGCGCCGCCATTGCGCGCAGCAGCTCCGCGGGACCCGCGCGAGCAGCGGGTGGCGCAAGCATCTCGCGCGCGCGGATGTTTCGACGACGGAGTGGCGGCGGTTCGGGGGAGCAGGAGCGGGCGGCGGAGGGCGTAGCAGACCGCCTCGAGCCGTGCGAGGTCTTCCGGGGAAAGCTCGCGGCTCGGGCCACCGGAAGATGGGCGAGCAAGCAGGTGCAGAAGCACGTCTTCTGATAGGTCGGCGAACGACGTCGGCAAATGCGTCGCAGAGTGTGCTGATGGTAGAAGCGTCGTGGCCATACTAGTAGTAGCTGACGCTGTAGTAGTAAGAGTGCTCGTATCAACGGCTTGGAAACAAACGAAAGACGACGTTATTCGCGGGCTCGAACTCCAAAGATCTATGGGGCTTGTAAGGCTCGGCTTGCTTCCGCGTAATGAGCTAGTCGCGACGGGCCTTTCGATAAGCTATTTTCTATTGATCTGTGGTGGTTCTTCTGAGGCTCTCTTCAAGCTCTTATTCTCTGCCATTGCTTTAGGTGGTGGGGGTGATGGTGATGTTGCAATTGTTGGCTTCGGCGTTGGTGGTGGTATGGTGCGATCTAGTACGGTTTGGCGTGTTACGGAGCGTGAAATGCCTTGTTGGGTTTGGCTGCGGTTGGTGAGGTTAGGTGGTGTGACTGACAGGGCTACTGGCTTGCGGCGAATTTGCGGTTTGGCGCGAAACGCAGGGCTGTTAGCGAAATTCGTGACAAGCGACAGAGCGCGGAAGCTGAAATGCGTCCGAGATGGCCTTCAGATTGCATGTGGACGGCTAAGATTCGACAACCCTAGTTATTTGCCAACGAGGGAATGTTACATGAGGTGCAGAGAGTTCGGCCAATCAACGAGGGGAAACAACGCCACCACGCCTGTGCAGACGAGCTTGTTTGACGTGGCCGGAAAGTCAATGAATGACGAGACTGTAACGGTAGCATTCGGTTCGGGTGCTGGTTTGCGGGGAGGCGGGCCAATGAGCTGTGAGGTCAGCAGACCAATCAGAGAGAGTCCACCCACCAAAAAGTTCCGTCTGTTGTAAAAACGAGTGTGACAATAGCAGACATAAGTTGAAACTATTCTTACGCGCACCAGCTACACTCAGAAAATGTTGTATTCTACAGTTCTGTGATTCTGCATTTTGCACCCGATCGTCCTTTGATGTGGTTTTGGCGGGGTGTATCCCAGTCTCTTGACGAGTTCTCTCAGACTTTTGTTGAACTGAACAGCGCAACCACAGTGAATCATGGCAGATAGTTGGGGGGGAAACCCTCGCGGCGGAGGTCGTGGAAGAGGGGGAAGAGGCGGAAGGGGCAATAGTGGCGGAAGATTCGGAAGTGGCGGAAGAGGCGGCAGAGGGTTTAGCGGAGCAACCGGAGGTTCAGGGTATAAGGGAAGTTGGGGAGGTTCTGGTTCTGGGGGCGGGTTCGGAAGGGGATCGGATGGAGCGGGCGGAAGAAGGGGGGGAGGGGGGAGAGGAAGAGTGGGAAGAGGCGGAGAGAGGGGGGGAAGAGGCGGCGGTAGAGGGGACTGGGGAAGATATCAGGGGGGAACCGGCGGAGAGGTTGGGCGCGGGAGCTTCAGCCCGGGCGATTCAAGGAAGCGGAAGTTTGAAGGCGCAAGCGGAAGTTCCGACGAGGGCGGAGGAGGAGGCGCACGCGGGCGAGGTTGGGGAAGAGGAGGCGGTCGCGGGGGGACGGCGGACGGGGTGGGGGACGGGGCGGTGGACAGGGGCGAGGAGCGGGGAGGGGAGAGAGCGCTCCTAGCGGACCAATGGACAGGAAGCAGAGGAAGGTGCGTCGGAAACATAGGTGCATTCAGGGAAGGCGCGTCAGGGGAAGGTGCATTCAGGGAAGGCGTGTCAGAGGAAAGTGCTTCAGAAAAGGTTGCGGCTGAGAAATGCACGACTGAATATCGACTTTAGCTCACAGTGATTTCATGGTTGGGCCGATAAACCCCTGTGAATGTAAACCCTGGTTCGATAAACCCTGCGACTTAAACCCCGAGTCTGGCTCTCAAGCACCGCACCCCTTCCCTCCCGTATCCTCACTTACCCGCTATACCCTCCCATTCGTTCTCCATTCATCCCTCTCACACCTCCCCTCACCTCCCCTCATATCATATCTCTCTCGCACTCCCCCTCTCCCTTCCCCCCTTCAGTCATTCTCTCTTCTCCCCCCTCTCCCCCTCCTTCCCCTTCCCCGTCCCCCTCCGCGCAGGAGTTAGCGGAGGCGCGGAAAAAGCGCCGCCGCCCTCTCTTTGATTTGGAAAAGGTTGGTTTAGGGAGGGTTTGGCACTAATCTTTATCTGGAAAGGGTGCATGTAGGGAGGGTTTGGCACTAATCGTTATCTGGAAAGGGTGCATGTAGGGAGGGTTTGGCACTAATCTTTATCTGGAAAGGGTGCATGTAGGGAGGGTTTGGCACTAATCTTTATCTGGAAAGGGTGCATGTAGGGAGGGTTTGGCACTAATCTTTATCTGGAAAGGGTGCATGTAGGGAGGGTTTAGCGCACTGGGTTTAACCCAGTTGCCGTGATCGAGGGGATAACTGTTTGGGCGAAGTTCGGTTGGGGTGCAAGGGTTGGGGATGGGGCTAAGGAAGAGGCATGGGAGTGCGTTGTGGTGCCACTTTCGCTGTGTTGTGGTGCCACTTTCGCTGTGTTGTGTTGTGCCATAGCGAAACTCTTTCTCATGCCTCACGCCGTGGGCAAGGCATGCCATTTTCTCTGTGTTGCATTGTGAACTTGCCCTCTCCTCCCCTCCCCTGTGTGCGTATGCCGCCTTGTATGCTTGCGATGCGCACGGTTGCTTGTGAACGTGTGGCTGTGCTGGTGTGCCTGTGCTGGTGTGTGATTGTACCAGGAGCTGACTCTGCTGTGGGAGAAGTCTCGCCAGAGGAACATAGACATGGAGAAAAAACACAAGTAAGCAAAGCAACAGATGACACACTGACAGATGACATACTGACTGATGACACACTGACAGATGACACACTGACTGATGACACACTGACTGATGACACACTGACTGATGACACACTGACTGATGACACACTGACAGATGACACACTGACTGATGACACCACTGACTGATGACACACTGACTGATGACACACTGGACTGATGACACACTGACTGATGACACACACTGGACTGATGACACACTGACTGATGACACACTGACTGATGACACACTGACTGATGACACACTGACTGATGACACACTGGACATGATGACACACTGACAGATGACACCACTGACTGATGACACACTGACTGATGACACACTGACTGATGACACACTGACTGATGAACACTGACTGATGACTATGTGCAGTACTTCGTGTGTGCGGCTCTGTGCTGTGCTACCTGCCTTGTTCTGAAACAAAGGACTTGACTCATACATTGTCTCTTCTGCCTCTCTGCACCTTCCTTGCTTCTTAACCTCGTTACAGGCTCGTGATTCTTAGTGATAGCTGAGATGAAGGGCAAATGGAGGTGTCGTGGTCTCCCACGTGGTCTTGAGTCCTGCTTATTCTTGACCTCTCCTCCTTCTTATACCCTCCATCCCAACCCCCATTCACCCCCCACCCATTCCTCGCCTCTCCTCTTCCCCGTTACAGGCTGGTAACGCCCATGATATCGAAGATGAAGGGCAAGATGCTGGAGATGGCGCGGTCGCACACGGTGTCTTGGATGCTGCATGCGTTTGTGAAGCACGGCAGGAAAAAACAGACCCACTTGAGTTCCCTCCTCTCTCTTATATCCCCGTTGCAGGCTGGTGACCTCAATGATTGCTAAGATGAAGGGCAAGATGTTGGAAATGGCGCGGTCGCACACGGTGTCACGGGTGCTGCAGATGTGTGTTAAGCACGGCAGGAAGGACGAGAGGAGATGGTGTTCGCTGAGTTGAGGCCGCACTGCAGGGAGCTGGCCATTCACCCGTATGCCCACCACTTAGTCAACCGGATGATGGACCATGGTGAGTGCCTTGGGTGCCGCAGAGAAGACGTGTGTAGAGCACTTCTGAGAGGTCTGGGTGCTGCAGATGTGTGTTCACTGAGCTGAGGAAGCACTTCTGAGAGGTCAGGGTGCTGCAGATGTGTTTGGACCACGGTGAGTGAGTGGCACAATGCCCGTCACATCATGCTCGCTCGTGTGTATCCCTCACGTTACTTCAATGCCCCCCCCCCCCCCTCCCCCTCCTCCACCCTGCCGGCTTCTTTCCCCCTTCTACTCGCCTCTCTCTCCTCGTCCCTTCCCACTCCCCTCTCTCCCCATTCCGCCGCTCTCCCCTCTTTCTTCCCCTTCCCCCGACCCAACCCTCCGCCCCCCCCTTCCCACTTCCCCCTTCTCCTGCGTCCCATATCCTCCATTGTAACGAGGTGACTTTTGGGTCGACTCAAAGGTCACCTCGTTACAATGTCACACAACACTTCCCCCTTCTCCTGCGTTCCGTATCCTCCATGCGAGCAGGCAGCAAGGAGAAGAAGCATGACAGCGCAGGGCAGCTGCGGGGGCACGTGGTGGAGACTCGAGGCAATGCGACAGCCCTTCCTTCCTTTCCGTTTCCCTCTCCCTTTCCATTTTTCCTTGCTCCCATTATGTGTGCGAGCAGGCAGCAAGGAGAAGCAGGCATGACAGCCGGCAGGGGGGCAGCTGCGGGGGCACGTGGTGAAGATGATGGGATGTGATGCAGGCTCTTTCCTTGCTTTCTTTCCCCCTCTTTCCTTTCCCCTCTCCCTTCCCCCTCTGCCATTCTGCGCTGCGAGCAGCCAGCAAGGAGAAGAAGCACGACATCATTAGGGCAGCTGCGGGGGGCACGTGGTGGAGATGATGCGCACCCCTGTGGCCAGTGCAGGTACGGTGCAGTGCTTTGATGATGGTTATATTGTGTTTGTGGGGTGCATGGCACGACATCATAGGGCAGCTGGGGGGCATGTGGGTGGAGATGATGCGGCGTCACCCTGTGGCCTCGGCAGGTATATGTGACTGAGGAGGGAGGTGGAACTGGGACAGGTGATACCTTCACATTGTGGCCATTGCACTGGTGAACAGCTGAGGGGGCATGTGGTGGTATCACATGATGCGGCGTCACCCTGCGGCATCACCCTGCGGCATCACCCTGTGGCCTCGGCAGGTATTGGTACCGGGAGGAGTGAAGTGACTAGGGCATGTACTCGTTGGTGCGTTAGTGAGGCTGCATGGCCATGGCCCACCATGCCCACCATGCCCACCATGCCCACCATGCGCACCATGCCCACCATGCGCACCATGCCCACCATGCCCACCATGCCCACCATGCCCACCATGCGCACCATGCCCACCATGCGCACCATGCCCACCATGCGCAACCTCTTTCTTCCTGCCGTATCCCCCACATCTCTGTGTGATTCTCTCCCCCTTTTCCAGTCGTGGAGAACGCCTACCAGCTCCTCCCCCCCCCCCCAGCGCTCTGTTCTAGCTTCCGAGATATTCTCCCCCAAGTTCCGCCTCTTCCCCTCGCTCGTCCTCCCTCTCACCCTCCTCTCACCCTCCTCTCACTCTCCTCTCCTCCCTCTCCTCCCTCTCCTCCCCCCGGCACGCAAACCCGTTCCAGTCGTGGAGCACGCCTACCAGCTCTCCACACCTCCCCAGCGCTCAGCTCTAGCGTCCGAGTTCTTCTCCCCCGAGTTCCGCCTCTTCCCCTCGCTCGCCCTCCCGGGCTCCGGCCACCTCTCTGACCTGCTGGCGGATCTCCCCACGGGCACCACCCGGCAGTCCGTGCTGCAGCACCTGGAAGCTTCCCTGCAGCCGATACTGGAGAAGGGGATCGTGGACCACTCGCTGTTCCACAGAGTGCTGGCGGACTACCTTCAAGTCATCTCCAAGGTATGATGGGTAATGCTCAAAACGTCTCTGGCTACGCCAACCAACATAGGCACCTGACTGACCTGCTGGCCGGTCCGGTCCCCCGCGGGCACCACCGGACAGTCTGTGCTGCAACACCTAGAAGCTTCTCTGTAACCCATTTCTGAGGAGGGGTCATGACTCGTGGACCACTTTCCAAGGCGCCACCATGACGAATGAGCGCATCTGCGCATCTGTCATCCACCTCTACCCCAACACCCCGCCCCCCACCCGTTCCCCCACCCGTCCTCCCCGCCCCACTTCCCCTGCCAATGTATCAGAGGGAGGTGGCGGAGGTCCGGCAGCATCTGATGGGCGCTCTGCTGCTGCGCATGGTGCACACGAGGGATGGGGTCAGGATCGCCAACACCATGGTTGCCCAGGCGACTCCTAAGGTAAGCCATGGCATGCTATACATGTGAAGTGGATGCATGAAATGTGGTCGTGTCAGGGCAGTGTTTCTGACTGAGCACATTGCGCTTGTGTCTCTCGTCTCATATCCGTTGTTTGAAATGTGGCACGGCACGGCATGGCATGGCATGACATGGCACCGCGTGTATGGCACACGGCAGGAGGTGCGGCGGGTGGTGAAGGCGCTGAAGGGAGTGGTGGCGCGCGTGGCGTGTGACGACCACGGCCACCTGCTGCTGCTGCAGATGCTCGAGTCCGCCTCTTCCGGTCCTTTGACCCGGGTATGTTGCTTACACCACTCTGCATTAACATGAGCATGCAACTTGTGGCATGTGACGACCCAGGGCACCTGCTGCTGCTGCTGCTGCTGGAGTCCGCCTCGTCCGGACCTTTGAACCGGGTACGTCACTTGCACCATGTAGCTTACAGCGTGTGGCGACCACAGCCACTTGCTGCTGCTGCTCGAGTCGGCGTCGTCTGGTCCCTTAAACCGGGTATGCCACGTGCAATGCAACCGGCTGTGTCATGAGCACGTGAGGGCGAGTGGCATGTGGCGACCACGGCCACCTGCTGCTGCTGCAGCTGCTGCTCGAGTCTACCTCTTGTCCCCTCTGGTGCTTCTTGTGCTTTCAGTTGGCGATCAAGGCGCTCATCAGAGACCTCTTTGAGGTCATGCAGGAGCGAATCTACCCCATCATATGCCGCCCCTGTCCTCCCTTCCCCCTTTACTTCTTTTCCCCCTGCCCCACTCCAGTTCGTGATCAAGGAGCTCATCAAAGACCTCTTCGAGGTCATGCAGGAGCAAATCAGGCGCCGGTTCCTGCTGCAGCTGCTCTCCAGTCCTTACCCCCCCGTCCCCCCCTTCCACCCTTTCCACCCTCTCTCTTTCCAGTTCGGGGTCAAGGAGCTCATTAAAGACCTCTTCGAGGTCATGTAGGAGCGAATCGCCTGCCGGTTCCTGCTGCACCTGCTGGCCCGTCCTTACCCCCCCGTCCCCGTCTTCCGCCCTGTCCTCCCTGTCCCTCCCTGTCCTCCCTGTCCTCCCTTTCCTCCCTGTCCTCCCTGTCCCCCCTTTCCTCCCTGTCCTCCCTGTCCTCCCTGTCCTCCCTGTCCTCCCTGTCCCTCCTTTCCTCCCTGTCCTCCCTGTCCTCCCTGTCCCTCCCTTTCCTCCCTGTCCCTCCCTGTCCTCCCTGTCCTCCCTGTCCTCCCTGTCCCTCCCTTTCCCCCTGTCCCCCCTGTCCTCCCTTTCTCCCTGTCCTCCCTGTCCTCCCTGTCCTCCCTGTCCTCCCTGTCCTCCCTTTCCTCCCTGTCCTCCCTGTCCTCCCTGTCCTCCCTGTCCTCCCTGTCCTCCCTGTCTCCCTGTCCTCCCTGTCCTCCCTGTCCCTCCCTGTCCCTCCCTGTCCCTCCCTGTCCTCCCTGTCCTCCCTGTCCTCCCTGTCCTCCCTGTCCCTCCCTGTCCTCCCTGTCCCTCCCTGTCCTCCCTGTCCTCCTGTCCTCCCTGTCCTCCCTGTCCCTCCCTTTCCTCCCTGTCCCCCTGTCCCTCCCTTTCCTCCCTGTCCCTCCCTGTCCCTCCCTGTCCCCCTGTCCTCCCTGTCCCTCCCTTTCCTCCCTGTCCCTCCCTGTCCTCCCTGTCCTCCCTGTCCTCCCTGTCCCTCCCTTTCCTCCCTGTCCTCCCTGTCCTCCCTGTCCCTCCCTTTCCTCCCTGTCCCTCCCTGTCCTCCCTGTCCTCCCTGTCCTCCCTGTCCCTCCCTTTCCCCCTGTCCCCCCTGTCCCTCCCTGTCCTCCCTGTCCCTCCCTGTCCTCCCTGTCCTCCCTGTCCTCCCTGTCCCTCCCTGTCCCTCCCTGTCCCTCCCTGTCCTCCCTGTCCCTCCCTGTCTCCCTGTCCTCCCTGTCCTCCCTGTCCTCCCTTTCCTCCCTGTCCTCCCTGTCCTCCCTGTCCTCCCTGTCCTCCCTGTCCTCCCTGTCCTCCTGTCCTCCCTGTCCCTCCCTGTCCCTCCCTTTCCTCCCTGTCCCTCCCTGTCCCTCCCTGTCCTCCCTGTCCCTCCCTTTCCTCCCTGTCCTCCCTGTCCTCCTGTCCCTCCTGTCTCCCTGTCCTCCCTGTCCTCCCTGTCCCTCCCTGTCCCTCCCTGTCCCTCCCTGTCCTCCCTGTCCTCCCTGTCCTCCCTGTCTCCTGTCCTCCTGTCCCTCCCTGTCCCTCCCTGTCCCTCCCTTTCCTCCCTGTCCCTCCCTGTCCCTCCCTTTCCTCCCTGTCCCTCCCTGTCCTCCCTGTCCTCCCTGTCCTCCCTGTCCCTCCCTGTCCTCCCTGTCCTCCCTGTCCTCCCGTCCTCCCTGTCCTCCCTGTCCTCCCTGTCCTCCCTGTCCTCCCTGTCCTCCCTGTCCTCCCTGTCCTCCCTGTCCTCCCTGTCCTCCCTGTCCCTCCCTGTCCCTCCCTTTCCTCCCTGTCCCTCCTGTCCTCCTGTCCTCCCTGTCCTCCCTGTCCCTCCCTGTCCTCCCTGTCCTCCCTGTCCTCCTGTCCTCCCTGTCCTCCCTGTCCTCCTGTCCTCCCTGTCCCTCCCTGTCCTCCCTGTCCCCCCTGTCCCTCCCTGTCCTCCCTGTCCTCCCTTTCCTCCCTGTCCTCCCTGTCCCTCCCTTTCCTCCCTGTCCCTCCCTGTCCTCCTGTCCTCCCTGTCCTCCCTGTCCTCCCTGTCCTCCCTGTCCCTCCCTGTCCCTCCCTGTCCCTCCCTGTCCCTCCCTGTCCCTCCCTGTCCTCCCTGTCCTCCCTTTCCTCCCTGTCCCTCCCTGTCCCCCTTTCTCCCTGTCCCTCCCTGTCCTCCCTGTCCTCCCTGTCCTCCCTGTCCTCCCTGTCCTCCCTGTCCTCCCTGTCCCTCCCTGTCCCTCCCTGTCCTCCCTGTCCCTCCCCTGTCCTCCCTGTCCCTCCCTTTCCTCCCTGTCCTCCCTGTCCCTCCCTGTCCTCCCTGTCCTCCCTGTCCCTCCCTGTCCTCCCTGTCCTCCCTGTCCCTCCCTGTCCCTCCCTGTCCCTCCCTTCCTCCCCTGTCCCTCCCTGTCCTCCCCTGTCCTCCCTGTCCCTCCCTGTCCCTCCCTGTCCTCCCTGTCCTCCCTGTCCTCCCTGTCCTCCCTGTCCTCCCTGTCCTCCCTGTTCCCTCCCTGTCCCTCCCTGTCCTCTCCCTGTCCCTCCCTGTCCCTCCCTGTCCTCCCTGTCCTCCCTTTCCTCCCTGTCCCCTTCCCCTGTCCCTCCCTGTTCCTCCCCCCTGTCCCTCCCTGTCCTCCCCTGTCCTCCCTGTCCTCCCTGTCCTCCCTGTCCTCCCTGTCCTCCCTGTCCCTCCCTGTCCCTCCCCTGTCCTCCCTGTCCTCCCTGTCCTCCCTGTCCCTCCCTGTCCCTCCCTGTCCCCTCCCTGTCCCTCCCTGTCCCTCCCTGTCCTCCCTGTTCCTCCCTTTCCCTCCCCCTGTTCCTCCCTGTCCCTCCCTGTCCCTCCCTTTCCTCCCTGTCCCTCCCTTTCCTCCCTGTCCCTCCCTTTCCTCCCTGTCCCTCCCTTCCTCCCTGTCCCTCCCTGTCCCTCCCTGTCCCTCCCTGTCCTCCCTGTCCTCCCTGTCCTCCCTGTCCTCCCTGTCCCTCCCTGTCCCCCCTGTCCCCCCTGTCCCCCCTGTCCTCCCGTCCCTGTCCCCCCTGTCCCTCCCTGTCCCTCCCTGTCCTCCCTGTCCTCCCTGTCCTCCCTGTCCTCCCTGTCCTCCCTGTCCCTCCCTGTCCTCCCTGTCCCTCCCTGTCCTCCCTGTCCTCCCTGTCCCTCCCTTTCCTCCCTGTCCCTCCCTTTCCTCCCTGTCCCTCCCTTTCCTCCCTGTCCCTCCCTTTCCTCCCTGTCCCTCCCTGTCCCTCCCTGTCCCTCCCCTGTCCCTCCCTGTCCCTCGTCCCTCCCTGTCCCTCCCTGTCCTCCTTCCCCCTGTCCTCCCTGTCCTCCCGTCCCTCCCTGTCCCCCCTGTCCCCCTGTCCCCCCTGTCCCTCCCTGTCCCCCCTGTCCTCCCTGTCCTCCCTGTCCCTCCCTGTCCTCCCTGTCCTCCCTGTCCTCCCTGTCCCTCCCTTTCCTCCCTGTCCCTCCCTGTCCCTCCCTTTCCTCCCTGTCCCTCCCTTTCCTCCCTGTCCCTCCCTGTCCCTCCCTGTCCTCCCTGTCCCTCCCTTTCCTCCCTGTCCTCCCTTTCCTCCCTGTCCCTCCCTGTCCCTCCCTGTCCTCCCTGTCCTCCCTGTCCTCCCTGTCCTCCCTGTCCTCCCTGTCCTCCCTGTCCTCCCTGTCCCTCCCTGTCCCTCCCTGTCCCTCCCTGTCCTCCCTGTCCTCCCTGTCCCTCCCTGTCCTCCCTGTCCTCCCTGTCCCTCCCTTTCCTCCCTGTCCCTCCCTGTCCCTCCCTGTCCCTCCCTGTCCTCCCTGTCCTCCCTGTCCTCCCTGTCCTCCCTGTCCTCCCTGTCCCCCTGTCCTCCCTGTCCCCCTGTCCCTCCCTGTCCCCCCCCCTGCCTGTCCTCCCTGTCCCTCTGTCCTCCCTGTCCTCCCTGTCCTCCCTGTCCTCCCTGTCCTCCCTGTCCCTCCCTGTCCTCCCTGTCCCTCCCTGTCCCTCCCTGTCCTCCCTGTCCTCCCTGTCCTCCCTTTCCTCCCTGTCCCTTCCCTCCTGTCCCTCCCTTTCCTCCCTGTCCCTCCCTGTCCCTCCCTGTCCCTCCCTGTCCCTCCCTGTCCTCCCTGTCCTCCCTGTCCTCCCTGTCCTCCCTGTCCTCCCTGTCCCCTGTCCCTCCCTGTCCCTCCCTGTCCTCCCTGTCCTCCCTGTCCTCCCTGTCCCTCCCTTTCCTCCCTGTCCCTCCCTGTCCCTCCCTGTCCCTCCCTTTCCTCCCTGTCCCTCCTGTCCCCCCTGTCCCCCTGTCCCCCCTGTCCTCCTGTCCCCTGTCCCCCTGTCCTCCCTGTCCCTCCCTGTCCCTCCCTGTCCTCCCTGTCCTCCCTGTCCCCCTGTCCTCCCTGTCCCTCCCTGTCCCCTGTCCCCCTGTCCCCCTGTCCCTCCCTGTCCCCCCTGTCCCCCTGTCCCCCCTGTCCCCCTGTCCCCCTGTCCCTCCATCCAGTTCGTGATCAAGGAGCTCATCAAAGACCTGTTTGAGGTCATGCAGGAGCGATCTGATCATCTGATGCTGCATTTTCCCCCTGTCGCACTCCTCCAGCTCGTTATCAAGGAGCTGATCTAAGGCCTCTTTAGAGTCATGCAGCAGAGCGAATCAAACCTCATCAAAATTCCACCCCCTCCTGTCCTCCCTTCCCCCTTTACTTATTTTCCCACCTGCCACACTCCAGTTCGTGATCAAGGAGCTCATCAAAGACCTCTTCGACGTCATGCAGGAGCGGATCGGCCGCTGGTTCCTGCTGCAGCTGCCCCCTGTCCCTTACTCCTGTCCCCCCTGTTCCCCCTGTTCCCCCTGTTCCCCCTGTCCCCCCTGTTCCCGCTGTTCCTCCTGTTCCCCCTGTTCCCCCTGTCCCCCCTGTTCCCGCTGTTCCCCCTGTTCCCCCTGCCCCCCCCCCCCCCCTTCCCCCCCCCCGTATCACCCCAGTTCGTGATCAAGGAGCTCATCAAGTCATGCAGGAGCGCATCGGCCACCGGTTCCTGCTGCAGCGTCTGGCCAGTGCTTACCCCCCTCCCCTGACCCCCCTTCCTCCCCTTCCTCCCTTTGCACCCTCTCTCTTTCCAGTTCGTGGTCAAGGAGCTCATTAAAGACCTCTTCGAGGTCATGCAGGAGCGGATCGGCCGCCGGTTCCTGCTGCAGCTGCTCGCCCCCTCCTCCCACCGCTACCTGCCACCCGATGCCGCCCAGGCTGTTGTGGTGGGCGGCAGAGTGGAGGAGGAGGGGGAGGAAGAGGAGGAGGAGGGGCAGGAGGAGGAAGGAGGGGATGATGATGGAGAGGAGGGGGAGGAAGAGGAGGGAAAGGAGCAAGGGGGGCGATGGAAGAAGGGGAGGGTGAAGAGGAGGAGGAGGAAGGTCAGGGAGGTGAGGAGATGGAAGAGGATGAGGAGGAGGAGGAGGAGGGAGGAGAGGGGGAGGCGGAGGAGGGTGAAGAGGGAGAGGAGGGAAAGGAAGGGGATGAGGGAGAAGAGGGAGAAGAGGGGGAGGAGGGGAGGAGGGGGAGGAAGGGGAGGAGGAGGAAGAGGCGGGGGAGGGAGAGGAAGGAGGTGCCACAGCTACGAAGTTCAGCAAGAGGAAGGGGAAGGCAGACGGCAAGAAGAGAAAGGCTGCTGCCGCTGCAGCAGCAGCAGATGATGATGATAGTGATGAGGAGGAGGAGGATGAGGGGGATGAGGAGGGGGAGGGGGGGGTGGAAGGGGCTCTCGGTCCGTTGCTAAGAGAAGGAAGCTTCTGATTGATTCAGGATTGGGCGAGGTGAGGAGGGAGGGAAGTTGGGGGGTTGGGTTGTGGGGGGATGGGATGTGACAAGATGGGATGTGACATGATGGGATGTGACATGATGGGATGTGACAATATGCGTCCGGAGATGAATTGCAAGGGTTGAGATGCCGGGGAGTGAATGCACACTGCAGTTCAGGTTGGTTGTTGTAATTGTCCCAACTCCGAATGTTTCTCAAACTCTTTCTCAAACTCTTCTCTGTGCAGCTGTACCAGGAGATGCTCAAGCTGGCAGAGGAGCATGCAGGCGGCTTGCTGGCTGGCTTTTGAGGGGTCGCTAATAATGCTGTGTGCTGCTGCCTTGTGCTCCTACCTTGTGCTGCTGCTCTGTGTGTCTGCACCAGGAGATGCTCAAGCTGGCAGCGGAGCATGCGGGCGCCATGCTGAGGTCTCAGTTTGCCTGCGATGTCATCTATGAGGTACACTGCGCTGTTACAGGTTCATCTGTGAGGTACAATGCGCTGTTAAAGGTTCATCTGTGAGGTACCATGCGTGGTTACAGTTTCATCTGTGAGGTACCATGTGTGGTTACAGTTTCATATGTAAGGTACCATGCGCCATTACAGTTTCATCTGTGAAGTGCATTTGCTGTTACAGTTTCATCTGTGAAGTGCATTTGCTGTTACAGTTTCATCTGTGAGGTGAGGTGCATATGCACCACCACCATCCACCACCCCTCTCCCCCCTTGCACTCAGCCATTGCTGCTGAAGCTGCTGCGCCCCTTCGTACACTTCCCTGCTTACGTCTCCTTTTTGAGAATTCTGAAAAAATCGCCCCTTCTTACATTTCCCTGCTTACGTCTCCCTCCAACCTGAAGTGCTTTTGAGTCGACTCAAAATGCGTATTCCCCCCAAATCCAGTTCCCTCACCTTGCCCGCGGTGGTGACTCTTCTCTTCTCGCCCTGCACCACCCCTGACTGCCCAGCACTCAGCCATTGCTGCTGAGGCCGCTGCTCCCCTTACTACACCTCATCTCCTTTCGTCTCCTTCCCTCCCCCCCCCCCCCTGCAGCTTGCACGTGGAGGAGACTCGTCTCTCCTCGCCCTGCACTATCCTACACTCCTCTCCGCCCTGCACTCAGGCATCGCTGCTGAAGCCGCTGCTCCCCGCCCCCCTGCTGCTGCTGCTGCCAATGGCGCTGCTGCTGGTGGTGATGGTGCGGGCAAGAAGGACAAGTCAAAGAAGGGCAAGGAGAAGAGCGGCAAGGTGCAGAAAGCACAGGAGGGGGGTGAGGAGGAGGGGGCAGAGAAGGGGGGAGAGGATGGGGAGCAGGCGGAGAAGCAGGGGGAGCAGCAGCCAAGCCATGTGTTGGAGGATTTCTTTGGCAGCAGAGTGCTGAGACGCCTGGTGGCAGATGAGGAGCGCCAGGCCGCAGCAGCAGCTGCGACTGCAGCTGTGGCAGAAGGAGCAGCAGAAACTGCGAAGTCTGAAGAAGCGGCGGCTGCAGCAGCAGCAGCGTTGGAGGGGGAAGTTGAGCCTTTCTGTGCCGTGTTGTGGCGAGAGGCGCTGCGAGGGCGGTGCAGGGAGTGGGGCACAGGCCACAGGTAAGAGGGGCTTTAAGGGCCCAGGTGAGAGGGGACTGTTTCCTAACTTCCTACATATCCTTGCTTCTTAGTTCGCCTCATTTTCTCGTCACACTGACAAAGGCGTTTGGCTCTATGTTGTCAAATATCACACTGCGCTGGTGTTTGCTCTCGTCCCTTCACCACTCGCCTTTCCTTCCTTCCCTCCCCCGTTCTGCCCCCAGTGCCAAGGTGGTGGCAGCTCTGGCGCATGCCCCTCACAAGCCAACAAAAGATGCCGCCCTGGCAGAGATGGCAACGTTTCTCGGTCTGCCCGAGTTTGCTGCACTGAAACGATTGGTGGAGAGCCCACCCTCCCACCATCACCAGCAGTAGTAGCTGCAGCAGCAGCAGCAGCAGGAGGGAGCATACTGAGTAAAAAGAGCACCTATTGTAGAACCACCGGAATTGCAGAAGCTTGGCCACCTTTCTAGAAAAGAACGCGCTGTAGTCAGGACGTGTGCTGCACTGTACGCATTCCAAAATGCTTGAAATGTGTCGCACATGCATATGCCACTCACCTGGACCTCCAACGTGTAGCTTGGCGACGATAATGCAAGGCAAGGCAATGTGTTGCGCAGTGCACAGATTGGACAGGAAGGTGTGCTGAGTGGAGCTTTGGGTTTAGGGTTTATGGATGCAATTACCTTGAACCAATTGTGCCAAGGTGACCTTTTCACCTAGGTGGTAATTTGGTAACCAGCCCTCGTCTACCTTTTCAGCCCCAAACTTCTTCCCGAGTTGCCTCGAACCCATTTTGACACCCTCGGGACTATCGAGCCCTTCACTGGTCCAACCTGTCAACGAGAGAACTGTTGACTAGAATGAGAGATACAAGGTGCTTTTGTGCAAAGGGGTTGTACTTTCTAAGAGTATGCCCCTATCTAGCCTATAAGATATATATATATGTTTTGACACACCCCCTAGGCTAGATGAGGGGCAATGCCTGGCAAGAGACACACAACTCAAGGTGGCACTATTAGTCCAACCTCTGAGGCAAGGGTTCGAAGACCAGTCATAAAGAGTACAAACTAAACAAGCGCAACCTAGGGCGGTACTACTAGTCCAGCCACTGGAACAAGAGCCACAAGGCCAGTCAAGATAATATAGAAGTAGTACACAATCAAGGTCCTAAGCAAGTGGGAAGCTACAGGAACTAGACCAAGTTGTACACAGTGCCGCTAATGATCTTTAGGCGCAAGCGCCTTCGTAAAGATATTAGTTGTGTTGGCACCTGAGGCGAAGTGTACTACGCGGGCCTGATGGCGCTGCTGTAGCTCGTGCAGGAGGAAGTACCGCAGCTGTATGTGCTTCGCTCTGCCCTCAAGTCGAGGCTACTGACATAGGAGAATTATGGCCCTGTTGTCAGCGTACAGGACCGGGACAGAGCTAGGCCGCTCACCTAAGTCAGGGAGCAAGAAAGTCAGCCAGCGGAGCTCCTATGCTACCCTGACACCGGCGTAGTTCTCAGCCTCACAGCTAGACTGGGCAACAGATGACGAGCAGGTGGACCTCCACGAGATGGCACCTATACCAAGGCTAAAGCAGTAGCTGTAAGAGGATCTGAGCGTCTCAGAGTCGTCCGTCCACGAAGCGTCCTGTCAGGACCACTGGCCTGTGTCCTCCTAGCACTAGCCCCATGACCGATGTACTTACTAGATAACTCAAAACCCTCTTATCGGCCGACCAGTGCTGTGGTCGGTGTGTGCCTGTGGCCACAAAGCGAGCCAGGATGCTGAGAGGGTATGCTAGATCTGGACGAGTGCAAGTCATCAGGTACATGAGGCAACCCACCAGCTCTGCGTAAGCACCACTTGGCTCTAAGGACTCCTCAGGGACTGCAGCCGAGAGCCTATGATCTACAGGCAGAGGTGTGGGCTGTGCGGAGGAGAACGGAAGGCCGAACCTCTGAAGCACTTGGCGCACCAAGAGTGATGGTGCACGCTGCTCTGTCCCTGGAGATCTACAGGCCAAGTTAACGGCGCAGCTCTCCTAGGTCAGTGCAGGTGTGTCTTCTCAGAAGCTCATCCTTTACGGAGGCCAGTGCGTCTCTATCTGCAGTAGTAGAGACCAGGTCGTCTACATAGAGAAGGATGTAGAACGGGGACTGACCAGCACGAACAAAGAGCAAGGGGTCCACAGAGGACGGGAAGAACTGCAGGTCAGCTAGCGGAGCACAAGCGTGTCGTGCCACTCGCGCGGCGCCTGCCGCAGGCCGAAAACCGGGCGTCGGAGGAGCCACTGGGTCCCCTGGGCGAAGGTGCCGGTGAAGCCTGGGGGGCGACGCAGGTAGACCTGCTCGTGCATACTGCCCTAAAGAAACGCTGTAGAGAAGTCGAGGGAGTGCAACTCGTAGTCACGCTGTGCTGCTACGTATAACAGCGCCCAAAGAGAAGTCATCTTCGGGGTCGGGGCGAAGGTCTGAAAGAAGTCAACACCCTAGCGCTGACTAAAG